AGGTTGTGCAAATGGGTTTAGTGATCAGTAGTATAAATTTTTGGCATTCTATTCTGCTTTATTTACCTCCTTGAGAGCCATTATTTATGAGACTTTACTTCTCTGTACATCATCTCTCAGTAATTAAGTCTTAATCTGCACCTCATTAAGAGGCTTTCATTTCCAGTCAGCTTGTCTTTCTCCCTGAAAGCTGATCTGTTTGACTTAGGATTTGAAATTCCCCAAAGCCCACTGTGCTGTAGCCACCTTCTTCCTCCTCTTCTTTCTTCTCTTTTCTTCTTTGTTGGTCAGTTTCACACAATATGGAGCTATCTGAGAAGAGGGAACCATAATTAAGAAAATCTTCCATATGACTCGGGTACAGGCAATGCTGTGGGGCATTTTCTTTAGGGATTGCTGGGGGAGGGCTCAGCCCATTCTGGGTGGTGTTTCTGGATTCTATAGGAAAGCAGGCTGAGCAAGTCAGTAAGCAGCACTCCTTCTCCACGGCCTCTGCATCAGCTCCTGCCTCCAGGTTCCTGCCCTGCTTGAGTTCCTGTCCTGACTTCCTTCAGTGATGAACAGTGCTGTGGAAGCCTAAGCTAATTTTCTCCTTTCCTCCTCAGGTTGCTCTGGTCATGGCGTTTATCACAGCAACTGTAACCCTAAAACACACACCATAGTCAAACTGGTACGATCCAAAGAATACCTGAAAATTAAGAAAGACTCAAAATGAATACATATATAGAAAAGCATGATCTTGTTAGAGCAATGTGTAATCAAGAGTAGAAATTTAAATATGAAGGTGGGTGTGGTGGCCCATAGGCCACCCCCTAATCCCAGCACTGCTAGGAGGCAGAGACCAGCCTGATCCACAGAGTGAGTTCCAGGACATCCAGGGATACACAGAGAAATCCCATCTTGAAAGACAAACAAGAAAAAAAAAAAAAGGAAAAACAAACAAACAAAAAATAAGTTACATCTTTTAATTCAGAAAAAAAGAATGTCAGTATAAGATTCTGTATTTAAAATGATTTTGTATTCATCAGAGTATTCTTTCCAGAAAAAAAAGTGGACATCATGTCAACATGCCAGTTGCTTATCACAAGGCCAGAAGTGAAAATTACAATCTGCAAATGCCAGATATTTAATAGGGATTTGAAGCAACTACAAGGGAATGCAAAGTACACACAAGTTAGTCAAAATACATTGTGCAAAATTCTCAGGATTGCTAAAAATATTTAAAAATAAAATAAATCTTTAAAATAAAAACCTGTGTAGCAAAGACCTGCCGTTTTGTCCTTACTCAGCCTACAAGTGGTATTAACACAGTAAGGCTCTGGGGAGCCCGGAAACGCTCTCCATTCAGTGCCACTAGACTGAGATGGGCTTCAACCTCGACTAGCTTTGTGTGGGATCCGCCAAGGTGGAGTCCGTTTCCAGTCTGCACTTCCGAGCCTCGCTGTTGCTGATCAGCCAGAGACCTCATCACTCCCGAACCCCGCAGAACCGGACGTGCCAGACAAGGTCTCCAGAACGGGAACCCGGAGACCCCGGAACGGTATGCTGCGGAACCCGCGAGCCCGGACACGCCGGAATGGGACACCGCGGACACAACTGGTTCCGGAATCCGGACATGGTGAGTCGGGACACGGCCTCCTGGTTGCCAGGGCTGCGAGGCTGCTGCAGCCGTTCGGGGTGTCAGCGGGAGTCACGGGTCGATTCATTCTGGAGCAGCCCTGTCGGCTCTCAGCGAGGGCAGGCAGCCGGATGGCAGGATCGTGGGGACAACCCGACTCCGTGTGTGCGGGTCTTGCCTGAGAGGAGCGCGGGGCTGAGCCCCCTTCTGAGCATCCTAATCTCTCAGCATCATGCATTCAGGACAGTAAATTCCTAAGTATTTCCCACCCCAGCTTCCTGTCTCCCACTAAACTGTCCCCGCATAGATTTCAAACAGACTCTGTGCTTTTTATCCGCCCCCTGCCACATCCAGTGGCGAATTTGAAAGGACTTGGTTTGTGTTTGTGAACGTTGCGCTGGAGCAGAAAGCACAGGACAGTTAGTAGACCCCGATAAGACTTTTCATGTCACACTTCGCTTATCTTCTCTAAGCACAGACACTTTATTATGCTATCTTTGGGTTGAGCTTTCCCCTGGCTGACTTTCAGGTGTGTCTTCATTTTCTCCAATTTTTTTTTTTTTTTTTTTTTTTTTTTTTTTTTTTTTTTTTTTTTGGTACTGGATTCCAGTACTTCCTGACAGCAAGTGCTGGTACTAGGTGCTCCCAGCTGCCCTGTCTCAGGGATTGTATAGTAAAGGGGAGTCCCCGGATTCTGTCCTAGGGTGGATCTGTGGGCATGCAGCCTTTAAGGGGAGCAGCCGGATCTCAAGGGGGTGAGGGGGACCTCTGGTATATTTTATATGAAGGCACTGCATTTCCATACACACACTGGCTACTGTAATACAACTATGTCCTCATCCTGGTATTCTTACTCTGTATTGTGATTTTTGTTTGGATCATACAGTAAGTCAATTTTAACTTTTTTTTTAAAAAGAGCTTCCACATTATTAAAAAGATCCCCATAGTAAATTTGTCATCTCCAATAGTTTCAGAGGATTGCCCTCTCCCCTTCCCTGTGTTTATGTTCCTCTCCTCCCAACTTCTTTTTTTTTTTTTTCCTAGTGCGTTTCATGTAGCCCAGGCTGGTTTAGAAATTTCCTTGTTTTTGCTGATGCCTTCGGACAACTGGTTATCTCTTTTGTAACAGCTCTTCCAAAGGCTGTGTTAAATTGCTGTTGCAAATAAATTAGAACCTATGCTTTTATGCAGCTCCTGTAAGCATATACTATAAATGATTTCTAGGACTGTAAGGACCTTTTTTTTTTTAAAAAAAAAAAAACCCTTTTCTGCACTTATGTCCACCCCATGGATGTGTTTATACATATAGTTACCCGCTGCCTGAGGTCTAGGGAGATTTTTACCTTCTTTGCTCTCAAAGCTTGGAAGTTCATATATAGTCCCTTGAATAAAGGATGGAAACTCAGGGTCACTCATTTTTTTTTTCATGTCTGACATCAAGGCAATAGGTACCCATTGTAGATACATCACCAGACTGTGAGTTTCAGTATTCTCTTCTTTGCAAAAACATATTCTGCCATCTCTGGGCCCACTTATAGACTAGGTCTCTATTGTGTTCTGTGACTATGTCAGCAAATTTCTAATGGCTTTTGTATAGGCTGAACATCTTCTCATTCGAGAATGAGACTAGTACCATTCTAGTGCCTGCTTGAGTAAGCTCCATGAAGTTTAAGAATGCCCTGTTCCAATGAAAACCTAAAAGATCCAAAATCTCATCTTTTTGTAGTATTTATCTTCCTCGACTTACTGATCCCCTGGTCATTTCTATCACCACATGCACTTTGAAATAATTGGTCATATTTGTGTGTAGTTGTACATGCCTGTATTTCTAGTAGTTGAGATGCCGCCTGAGAGATTGAGTTCAGGGCCAGCTTGGGCTGCACAGGGGGTACCAGGCCCCTTAGATCCTGCACTTGTTTGATTAGAGTTACCCCAAGATATTTTATGTTATTTGTGGCTATTGTAAAGGCTCATGTTTCTCTGATTTCTTTCTCAGCATGCTTATCATCTGTATATGAGAGGGCTATTGATTTTTTTTAAATTAATCTTGTATCCTGCTATAAGAATTTTCTTCAATGAGGGGAAAGAGCTGAACTTATCTATGAATATAGGGGTGAGTGTTTAGACCCATGGGTACTTGGCTAGGTGTCCAGTAGCAAGCATGATTTCCTTCTTGGTTAGCAAGCATTGAATCCGGTTAAGAGAGTTGTTAGTTACCTCCAAGCTATTCTTACATGTCCTATGCTATTCTGGTTGTTGGTATTGTTCATAGGCGTCATAGCTGGGTAGCACTGTTGGTTGCTTCTCTCCTTTAGAAACTTTCATGGCACCTTCTGGTACCATGAAAGTAGTCCTCTGGGAGGGGTCTTTAGGATCTGATCCTCTGGGTCCTGTGTCTGAAGTGCACATTGTCTTCTGCAGTAAGGATAACAGCAGTAGCCTATCATGTTGTGGGAGTCTCTTGTACTCTCCTGTAAATATATATATCCCCTTTCTAATATTCATTCTATCAGGTCTGTTCTTCTAAGGAACCCTAACTAATACAATATGTTAAAGCTCCCTTAAGTTGACAGTTTGTCCTTAGTCCTTCCTGTGTTTCTGATATTCTGATTTATTTTCTAAAAGTAAAGTCTTGTGTACAATGAGGAGTTAGGAAACCCACTAAACTAATGTACTTTTCATTGGTTAGCAAATTGACAGTTGAAGTAGAGATGGTAGAGACTCATTTCACCTTTTGGTACCCACAGTCTGCAGCTACTCCAATAGTCTGTGTATGATGATAGCATTTGCAGGTAGTTTACAGACAGCTTCTAGTATACTTTATTTTAGATTTCTCACAATACTTGCTATAATATAAATATAAATACTACATAACTATTCAGGTTTTTTTTGCACTGTTATAGAATAACAACAAGAAAAGTATGTGCTCAGCTAGATTTTCCCACAGTACTTTTTATCATTTTGTACTGGGTGAGTCTGCCGACGAGAAACACACAAAAAGCCTTTGTATTTTGATTGTGAGGACACTAGGGTGGTTATGATTGCCCATTGCTTCTTAAACTATTGCCTTGTAAAGTTAGAGCTTAAAATTTGTTTTTGGTAGTAACGGGGGTTGAACCTTGGGCAACATGCTTATGAGGCGGGTGCTGCATCCCCGCAAAGTCGTTCCGTGAAGTGAAAACAACCGTGAAGCGCAGACTCAACTCACATCTTACTCATCTTCCATGTGTCACGGCGGAGTTTTATTTTTCTGTCCTGCCTGTTTCAGATTGTGCCGTGTGGCATAGGCTGGCCCCTGTGTCACAGTCCTCCTGGGGTCACAGGCACGCGCCATAGGCTACGCTTCTGATCTTTTGATAGAGTTTCAGCATCTTTTCACTTTTCATATAAAAGCACAGAATGTTGGGGGTAGGTTTTGGGACTTCTGCTATCTTTGCATCTGATAACCCCACCTCTGTTTTATCTTATGTATACAATGGTAAGTTGTTAGTAAAGTTGCCTATTTTTATTGTGATTTCTTATTTTCCATTGCTTTGTGATTCTTATTTTCAGTTTTGAAATGGATGCACTCAGGAGTCTTCATTTCTTTCTTTGATTTTTATTTATTTCTGTGTGCATGCACTGTATATGCATATTCAGGTGTGTGGGTGCACATTTGTGTGTGAGTATGGGTGTGCACGCACATATGAGTACATGTGTGTAGAGGCCAGATGCTGATGGCAGGTGTTTTCCTCAATTGTTTCCCATCTTACACATTAAGACAGCAACTCTCACTTGAACCCAGCATTGTGCTGGTTTGTTGAGTTTACCTAGCTGCCTTTCTCCAAAGATATCCCTGACTATCTCCTGAGACTTGGGATTCCAAGGAGGCTGTCTTAGTTAGGGTTTCTGTTGCTGTGAAGAGACACCATGACCATGGCAACTCTTGTAAAGGGAAACACTTCACTGGGACGGCATACATTTTCAGAGGTCTAGCCCATCACCATTGTGTGACATGGCAGCACTGTGTGACATGGTGCTGGAGAGGGAGCTGAGATTCCTGCACATTGTGCAGGCAACAGGAAGTGTTCTCAGTGTCGCACTGAGGGAAGCTTGAGCAAAAAGAGACCTCAAAGCCTACCTCCACAGTGACCCACTTCCTCCAGCAAGGCCACACCTCCTAATAGTGACACTCACTTTGTGGGCCGTTTTCTCTCAAACCACCTCAGGGGTCCTTAGGACAACTTGGCTTTTCCATGAGTGTTAGTGTTTACCCACTGAGCCATCTCCCTTCCTTAAGTTCCCTGTTTTACCTTATGAATCCTTGGCACTTAGTTTCTGTTCTTAAGGCCATTGCTAGCTCTGGACAATAAATACTGTGGGTCGTCATGTAGTTCTGTAGTTTCTGTGAACTAGGAACCTCAGTGTGAACTAGGAATTTGCATTTAAGTGTATTCTGTTTCTGTGATTACTCAGCACTACCTATTGAGAAGGAAATGGCTCTATAACAAGGACTTATGGTGACATCTGTGTACTGAAAATGGCCTTTAATTGATTCACTTTTTATGCTTTCCCAGGGTAAAGGTTTTCTCATTAGGTATAATAAGTCAGCTCTGTTATGCTTTAGTAAGTAGTAGCCTCAACTTCAGGTGAGCTTAAACACCAAAGGTGTGGGTCAAATAGCTGTGTGGTTGCTGCTGGTCATTGTGGGTGGCAGGAAGAAGTGCTGGCTTTTAAAGCTATTAAGACATGATATAAATGGTTTCTGCTGGCATCTCGGGCCTTCTCTGAGTTTCTCTGGGGTGGTGTGGGGTATGGGAACTTCTCACAAGAAGCCATACTGAAGAGTGAGCAGCATCTGCCAGATGCTTAGTTTGTTCTCGGCCACAGCTGTCTCAGTTCACAGCTCTTGAGGAGACAGCCCTAGGGTGTATGTTCATCCTTCCTCACTGCAGTCTGGAGCTCCTGTCACTCCCCTGCCGAATCCACTAAAGTTAGCACGTGGCCATCTGGGGAGCTTACTTTTCAGCAGTGTGCTGACTATTCTGGGTATTTGCCTTTCTGTATGAATTTTAGAATCCTTTTACCCCCTTAAGTTTAAAGTTTTAAAATAACATTTAATTTGTGTCTGTTTGAGTGTGTGCGTGCATGTGTGTGTGTGTTTTTACACGTGGAGTTGTGTGTGTGTGTACTACAGCATGCTTGAGGTCAGAGGACAACCTGTAGGGGTTGGTTCTCTCCTGCCTTGTGGGTCCTGAGGATGGAACCCAAATTGTCAATCATGGCCAAAACTGCCTTTACCCTCTGTAGGGAGCAGTAAGCTGTCAATCATGGCCAGAAGTGCCTTTACCCTCTGTAGGGAGCAGTAACTGCTGAGCTACCTCTCCAGCTCTGACAGTACCACTTGTGAATCAGAACACAGTGCCCTGGTTAGATAGGTGGTTTTGTTTTTGTCAACTTGGCACAAACAAGAGTGTCTGAGAAACTGGAACTCCAGTTGAGAAAATGCCCCCATCAGATTGGCCTGTAGGCAAGCTTGGGGCATTTTCTTGGTTGATGATTGATGTGGAAGGCCCAGCCCACTAGGGGAGGTGCTGTCCCTGTATCCCCTGCTACTTTCGTGTCCCATGTGTTCCTAAGGCCTCATCCAATTCGGTGGCCTCCTGACCTCCACAAACACCCCAAGTGAAGTGCACAGATCTGAAAATTCAGAGCTAGGGTAGTATCCTGGAGAGAACATGTGGTGTTTGTCTTTCTGGGCCTCAGTATAATGTTTCTCAATTCCATCCATCTCCCTGCGAATTTCATTGTCTTTACAGCTGAGTAAAATACCCCTGTGTATACGCATCACCTTGTCATTGTATACTCTTCAGCTGGTGGGCATCTAGGCGGATCCATTGCCTGGCTCTTAGGATAGAGCATCCATGGTCAGAGATGAGCAAAGGTCTCTGTAGTGGTTATGCTGGGACATGTGGTGGTCTATTCTTAGCTGTCCGAGAAGCCTCCACACCGATTGCCATAGTGGTTATACAGTTGACAGTCCCAGCAGCGGTGACCGGGTGATCTCCTTGCCCCACGTCCTCACTGGCTCTTGTTCTCTTGATTATACCCATTCTGACTGTGGTGAGACGGAATCTCAAAGGACTAAACTTGCATATCCTTGATGACTAAGGACATCAAACCATTTAAAAAGCATTCATTGACCTTGTGTTGGTCTTCTTTGGAGAGCGTTCTCTCTGTTGAGTTCCTTAGCCCATTGATTGGGTTGTTTGTTTTCTTTTGTTTAGCTCTTTGTGCTATTGACTTTTATTTCAGGAGCTGCTGTCATCCGAGGATGTGTCCATTGACTTCTCCCCAGAGGAGCGGGAATGCCAAACCCTGCTCTGTGGAATTTGTATAGGGGTGTGATGTGGGAGAATTACAGGAACTTTGTTTCCCTGGGTGAGGATCTCTGTCTACAGAATTCTTAGCTCCCTCTCAACATCTGATTTCCCTTCTCTGTAGCCTGTGTCTCAAGGGCTTCTGTTTTGTATGAAGGCAGTTGGCATTCCTACGTATAAGAGAAATATTTAGAAGTTTGATGGTTTGGAGAAGATCATTTTAATTGTATTTATTTTGAAATCTCCTTTCTTGAGGAAGTGTTTCTTCTTCATGCTAGATCAGTGATTCTCAACCTGTGGGTTTGACCCCCCCGCCCCCCAGGGTCACACATCACATTTCCTGCATAGCAGACGTTTACATCACAATCATCACAGCAACAGAATTACAGTTACAAAGGAGCAACAAAAATGATGTTCTGGTTGGGGTCAGCACAACCGGAGGAACTGTGTTAAAGGGTTGCAGCTCTAGGAAGGTTGAACCCAGTGCTCTAGACCAGTGGTAACTCCAGAAAGTTGCCGGCACAAAGCATCGTGGCTATGTCTTCAAACCCATTTGCTCCGAGCTGGTCACGTGTGCAACTGAAGCTCAGCTTCTCCAGGTTGAAAATCCCTCACACATATTTTTTTTCTCTGAGTAGCCTTGGTTGGCCTGGAACTCACTCTGCAGACCAGTCTGGCCTTGAACCCAGAGATTTGCCTGTCTTTGCCTCCCAAGTGCTGGGATAAAAGGTGTGAGCCTCCACCACTCAGCAGACATTCTAATGTGCATGGCAGGGAATAATCAGAAATCATTTCCTGAAATCTCCTCATATGTTTTTTCTTTTCGCCTAGCAAAGTATGGTCAGAGAAATGTTATTACTTATTAGGAGGCTCGTAACTGAACATTGTTCTCTATTTTGTAATAAACAGGTCTCGCTGTGTGTAAGCCTTACCTGGTCTCATCGCTGGAGCAGAGACAGGCACCTTGGAATGTGAAGACACAAGAGCCAGGAACCATGTGTCCAGGTCGGTAGGAATGACACAGGAAGAAGTCACGCTTTCCGGTGGGGGTTGGGAAGCCCTGTTTCAGTGGAGATGACTTTTCAGGAGCCTCTGGAGCTGGAATTACAGATTGTTGTGATCTGCCTGCCATGTGGGTACTGGGAACTGAACCTGGGTCCTCTGGAAGAGCTCCGCATGCTTGAAACTGTCGGGCCACCTCTCCACCCCAGATGCATAAGCTTTATGTACACAAATAACAAATTCAGACAGTGGCCATGGAAAGACCTGTCAGCTGTTGCCATTTCTGTGGACTGAGACTATCCAGATGGTACGGCATTGAACTATGTAGAATTCACTAGTCATTCAAGTAGATTTTCGTCTTGTGTTTTCTGTAGGTTTTATTTCTGTCTGTTAGAAACACTTACTCATATTTCTGCTTAGGACTCCTTAGGCTTGGGCTGGAGGGAAGTCTGTGATTGAGAGCGAGTCATACTTTTGCGGAGGACCCCAATTTGGTTCCCAATGTTCAGGTTGGGTGGCTCCATTGCCCCCTTCTGGCCTCTGCAAGCACCGCCCTCAACACACGCATACCTGTACACAAACAGATGCATTCATTACAAAAAGATTCTCTAGTCCCCTCTTCTCTGGTGGACCATCTGAAGTAATAGCATCTTGTTGATTTTTTTTAATTTCTTTATTATGTATACAACATTCCTTCCATGTTTGCTTGCAGGCCAGAAGAGAGCACCAGATCTCATTATAGATGGCTGTGAGCCACCATGTGGTTGCTGGGAATTGAACTCAGGACCTCTGGAAGAGCAGACAGTGCTCTTAACCTCTGAGCCATCTCTCCAGCCCCATCTTACTGATATTGTAATGATCATTTAGGTTTAGGTTCAGTGTTTCCATTCTGACCTGCTGTCCGAAGTAGACCTGTTATCTCCTGCACTGAGGAGCAGGAGATACTGGAATTCCCTATCAGGGAACCGTCAGACAGTTCACAGGTGTATTCATTTGTTCTCCTTTTCTCTCCCAAGAGAGCAGATGATGTGGGAAGCTGCTTTTGTTTTGGGTGTTGGTAGAATGCCGTTTTCAGAGGTGCAGAGCTGGGACTGACGAGGAAGTAACAGGCTTTTCAGCAGATGCCTGTGGGGAAATGGAGAGGTTCTGTTTGCTGTCCTGCTGTCTGGAGGACATGTCTGCTTGCCATGGTATTGAGGTCAGATTCAGAAACAATTCACCTAAGCATAGTAACTGAGGTGATTTGTTATTTTGATTTCTTGCAGGTGTTTCTTCTCATTATACCCTAGGCTCTTCACAAGAGCAGGACAAAAAACCCATTTCTTCTAAGATACGATAGGGAGAAGATGCAGGAATTATGGCCTTGACAATTTGCATTAAAGATAGAAATGCAGCAGGCCTTCAAATACCAACCAACCCTTACTTGGCTCCAAGTTGGCAAAAGCTATGAATTTCATTACACCAGCATTTTTCTCTCCAACACGTCGTTTCCCAGCCTCAATAGTGGTCTTCCTATGTTCATTACACATGTACTGGATTCTTAAGTATCTGTGTCTGGATTTGGATGTAGAAAAGAATTGACGGGTGGTTAACTGAGTGCAGGAGCCCACACCTGTAAGATCAACGTGTCGGAGGATGAAGCAGAAAGATCATGGTGAGTTCAAGGTGAGCACTGGCTCCGTACCAAGTGCCAGGATAGCCTGGGTTATCCAGTGAAACCTTGTCTCAAAACAAACAACAACCACAACCAACCAAACAACAACCAATTACTGCATTTATTAAAGGGGTGTATTTTGGTACAGAGAAAACAGATTTGCTGGTGATAGAGTAATGAGCCCTTCCAAAAAGACAATCCCACTTTAAAGCATGTTCTTCATTCCTAAAATCTTTTTTTTAATTTTTAAAAAATGATTTATTTAACTTTATTTTATGTGTATTGGTGTGAAGATGTCAGATCTTGTGGAACTGTATTTTCAGACAGTTGTGAGCTGCCATGTGGGTGCTGGGAATTGAACCTGAGTCCTCTGGAAGAGCAATCAGTGCTCTTAACCACTGAGCCATATCTCCAGCCTCTAAAATCTCTTTTCTAAAGGAATATTTGGTTCAAAGTTTGATCCAGCTACATTTCAATTGTTCAGGTTCCTAATAAAAGCATGGAACAGTTGTGTCTTAAGAATTACCCAAATTTCATTTAAGAGGAAAGTTATTTTTCCAGATGTGATGTGGACATTTACTCAAACATACAGTTTTCTTAGCCACTGTTCTGAGATGCCGTGGCTCTTGGTCTCAGCCGGCAATGGGTTCTCTGTTGTGCACAGTTGCTGCATTCCGGCTGTAAAACGCTTCCTAGCCTTCACATTCATTGGTGCGTGTGGAGCTTCTCTCCTAGGTGAACTCTGGTGTCAGTTCAGAATCAAACTGGTATTGAAGCCTTTGCCACATTTTTGATATTTGAAGAGTTTTGCTCTGGTGTAAAAAAAATTTGGAGCCAAGTAAGGGTTGGTTAGTATTTGAAGGCCTGCTACATTTCTATCTTTGATGCAAATTGTCAAGGCCATAATTCCTGCATCTTCTCCCTATCATATTTAAGAAGAAATAGTTTTTTTGTCCTGCTCTTGTGAAGAGCCTAGGGTATAATGAGAAGAAACACCTGCAAGAAATCAAAATAACAAATCACCTCAGTTACTATGCTAAGGTGAATTGTTTCTGAATCTGACCTCAATACCATGGCAAGCTGCATGTCCTCCAGACAGCAGGACAGCAAACAGAACCTCTCCATTCCCCACAGTTAAAACTGTATGTCTTCTTTTCTTCCCAGAAAATCTGTGCAACTGTAATGACTCCACAAAAGCCTTTGATCATCATGCAGAATGTACCATCCATCAGTGTGCGCACAGTGGAGAGGAGCCATTGAGACATGAAGAACATGGCAAAGCTTTCGTTGATGATTCAGCTTCTGATCGGCATTTGCCCTACAAATGTAAAGACTGTGGCAAAGCCTTTAAATACCGCTCCATCCTCTCCCAACACCGCGTCATTCATACTGCTGCAAGGCCCTACCAATGTCAGGAATGTGGCAAAGCCTTCAAAAGAAGTAGGAACCTCACACAACACCAGATGACTCATAAGAGGGAGAAACCATACAAATGTGAAGACTGTGGCAAAGCCTTCACTACACATTCGGTACTTACTCAACACCAAATCAGTCACACTGGAGAGAAACCCTACAAATGTAAAGACTGTGGCAGATCCTTTAAATATAATTCAACCCTCACTCAGCATGAAGTCATTCATACTGAAGCAAAGCCCTACAGATGTCAGGAATGTGGCAAAGCCTTCAAGAGAAGGCACACCCTTAGTCAACATCAGATAATTCATAAAGGAGAGAAACCGCACAAGTGTAAGGAATGTGGCAAGACCTTTAGTAAACATTCATCTCTTACCCAACACCAGGTCATTCACACTGGCGAGAAACCCTATAAATGTAAAGAATGTGGGAAAGCCTTCAGATATCAGTCAACCCTGACTCGACACCAAATTGTTCATACCGGGGCAAAGCCCTACAAATGTCAGGAATGTGGCAAAGCCTTCAATAATAGCTCAACTCTCAGTCGACACCAGGTAATCCACACAGGAGAGAAACCCTACAAATGTCAAGAGTGTGGCAAAGCTTTTTACTGTTCTTCATTTTTGATCCAGCATATGAAAATTCATTTTGAAGAGATGCCCTATAGATGCAAAGAGTGTGGTAAACCCTTTAGGCTTTCCTCACAGCTGATTCGACACCAGAGAATCCATACTGGAGAGGAACCTTATCTATGTAAAGAGTGTGGCAAAACCTTCAAATACCACTCAAACCTGACTCGACACCAAATACTTCATACTGGAGCGAAACCCTACAAATGTCAGGAATGTGGCAAAGCCTTCAATAATAGCTCAACACTTACTCGACACCAGATAATCCACACAGGAGAGAAACCCTACAAATGTCAAGAGTGTGGCAAAGCCTTTTACTGTTCCTCATACTTGATCCAGCATATGAAAATTCATTTCGAAGAGATTCCCTATAGATGCAAAGAGTGTGGTAAACCCTTCAAATGTTCTTCACAGCTTGTTCGACACCAGAGAATTCACAGTGGAGAGAAACCCTACATATGTAAAGAATGTGGCAAAGCCTTCAATTGTACTTCGTACCTTACTAAGCATCAGAGAATTCATACTGGAGAGAAACCCTACGTGTGTAAAGAGTGTGGCAAAGCCTTTAATTGTTCTTCCTATCTTTCTAAACACCAGAGAATTCATATTGGTGACAGACTGTATAAATGCAGGGAATGTGGCAAAGCCTACTACTTTTCTTCACAGCTTAACCGACATCAGAGAATCCATACGGGAGAGAAACCCTACATATGTCAAGAGTGTGGCAAAGCCTTCAACTGTTCCTCATATCTCAATAAGCATCAGAGAGTCCATGTTGTAGAAAAGCCCTATGTGTGTAAGGAGTGTGGCAAGGCTTTTAACTGTGCTGCATACCTTACTAAGCACCAGAGGATTCATACTGGAGATAGAGTTTACAGATGTAAAGAGTGTGGCAAAGCCTATTACTTTTCCTTCCAGCTCAATCGGCACCAGAGAATCCATACCCAAGAGAAATCCTATCGCTGTAAGGAGTGCGGCAAAGCCTTTATTACTTCTTCCAGCCTGAAACGGCACCAGGAAGCTCATGTTAGCGAAACCCAGCAGTGTATAGAATTTGGCGAAGCCTCAATAGTAAGAATTTGTCAGTAGGTGTTTCATAAAGGGGAAACACCCCATATACACAGTTCAGGACTTGAATAACTGCAGGGTCACTAGCTCACACCGAAAGGCTCATACGTGAGGGAGACACTCCAAGTGAAGTGTGCCGAAACCTGTAACAGTTGTGTAGCAGCTACTCTGTACTAAACAGTCCACAGCGGAGAGCAGCTTACAGATGCCATAATATGGCCTGGCCTTGGGTCTCAGCAGAAAATTCATATCGGAAAGAGCGCTGTCCTATGTGTAGCCCTCAGAGGAGTCTAGTGCTGTCCTGGAAATCCCCTCACTAAATAAAAATATTAACAACGCTTTTTCTAATACCTCAGGTCGATTTTTAGAAGACAGCCCATACCTCAATAAATCTTGTTGTACGTAAAGAGTTAGCACAGGATAGAAATCTTATGAGTATGTGGAATGTGGCAAAATTTTGGACTTCTGCTCACCATTATTCAACAGAGTGGAAAGAAATACACCACAGGTGTCACAGTTATTTGACCTCATCTCCGAAAAGATGGAGTTTGTCATACATCTAAATCTACTGAATAATTTCACTGTTAAAAACTGTGCAAAGCTCGGCCGTGGGCCATTTTAGCCTGCTTTCTGAGAAGTTTTTAACTTTTCTCCATAGAGCATAAAGTAGATTTTGAAAAACTGTGTATTATGTACAAACTTTGAGTACACGCATGGAGCACATGGGTCTTGTCATCTCTAATACGTATGCTTGGCATCTTATTTTGTCACTGAGATTAGACCGCCTTATTGGAGTATTATGTAACAAATCTTAGTGGGTTTGTTGAGGAATAGTGAAAGGCTGGTAATCCCTGTTCTCAGTGTCCTTATTCTTCAAACCTATGTATAGATTTGAAGGTTCTCCTTTAATCCATTCTTTTTGCACTTACCCAGAGGGATGTGTTCTAGCTTTCTGAATTGTAAGTTATTTATATTGTTTTTATCATACGGGTTTCATTCACACATCACCCCTTAGTTGTACAAAGGACACAGAAGTGTTGGTATTCATTGGTGTTGATGGCAATATACAAATCACAATCTAATGATAAGCTTTAGGAGTAGTGCTACAGAAATACCATATGCTTGTGGGCAGTAATTAAGAATAAATGGAAATTATAAAGAAGTTATAAAGTCTTGAATGGCCAATAGTGAGGCAGGAGCAAGGATAGGCAGGGCTGGCAGGCAGAGAGAATAAATAGTGGGGAATGAGAACAAGGAGAGATGGACATCAGTGGCCAGCCACCCAGCTACACAGCCACCCAGCTACACAGCCACCCAGCTACACAGCAAGCCACAGAGAAGAAGTAAAGAAAGGTATACAAAAATAGAGAAAGATAAAAACCCACAGGCAAAAGGTAGTCAGGATAATATAAGAAAAGCTGTCAAGAAACAAAACAAACTAAGGCTGGGCAATTATAAGTAAGAATAAGCCTCCGTGTATGATTTATCTGGGAGCTGGATGGTGGGCCCCCCAAAAGCCAAAACAGTAAAACATCACACAACAAAGCTGGCAGACTATAACAAAACCAAGGGTGCTTTTGGGAGGAGTAATGTGTCCTGCCTGATAGGGAGAATGAGACAACCAAAGTGTGCATGTGTGTATGTGTGTATGTATGTGTGCATGTGTGCATGTATGTGTGCATGAAGCTTGAAGGTGCCAAATGAAGTGCAAATAATAAAAACTCAGAGAAATTGGGGTTCAACATGAAGACCTGCAAAGCAAAGCAGCCAGTCACTGGCTCTTACCTCCACCTCAGTCCGGAATGGCAATCCTGTCTCCAGGAATCCTCTGAATGAGACAGTCTGAGAGCTGTCTCCTCCCATCTTATATTCCTCTCTAGGGCTGGGATTAAAGGCGTGCATCACTACCACCTGGTTTCTATGGCAAACTGGTGTGGCTACTGGGATTAAAGGTGTATGTCGTTGCCTGGTCTGTAAGGCTGATGAATGGGACTGTTTTACCCTCTGATCTTCAGGCAAGCTTTATTTATTAAAATACAAATGAAATACCACTACATGTGTGCATGTGTGAATAGTGTATGTGTGTGTATAGTGTGTGTGTATGTGCAGAGAACATTTGGACATGGTGGTTTGCCCCTACAGGGCCTGTGTGGTAGTGACGGAGATGGACAATGTTGAGGGTAGTGAGATGTGTAACTAAGGTGAGGACTGGGGCTGGAGCTGTCAGTGGGGGAAGTTCCAGGACGGCAGTCTTCTTGTAGGGGGTGTGGAGTGGCACCTGCCTGGCGTGTGGGGTCCTCCCTGAGGGTGTGCTAAGGTTATGGAGAAGCTATAATAACAGTTGAAGGACTAGAATTGTGTTGGCTAGTCTTTGTCAAATTGACACAAGCTACCGTCACCAGGGAAGAGGGAGCCTAGTTCAGAGAATGTCCCCACCAGATTGGCCTGTGTATGATGTTTATTTGATTGGTGACTGGTGTGGGAGGAGCTAGCACACTGGACAGTGCCACCTCTAGAATGGTGGTCCTGGGTGTTATTAGAAAGCAGGCTGAGTTCAAGGCCAGCCTGGTCTACAGGGTAAGTTCCAGGACAGCCAGTGCTACACAGAGAGCCCTGTCAAATAAAAAGTAAAAGAAAAAAAAAGGAGAGAAAAAGAGAACACAGACCACCAAGCCATGGACAACAAGCCAGTAAGCGGCATCCTCTGTGGCCTCTGCATCAGTTCCTGTTGAGTTCCACCCATGTGCATATCTGATCACCCTCAACCTCTCTGGTAGCTTTTAGGAAGTTGCTTTCTACTTCTGTTTGCTGCTTTTGGCAAATGATACAGATGCGTTATCTGTGTCAGTGGCTCTGCAGAGTACATTAACTTAAAATTACAGCTATGCATTTAGCTGCTATTGTAAACGTTGATTGCACAGGAAATCCCAGGCAAGTAAGGGTGATTGTTAAAATTTTCCCTTTAAGCCAGGTTAAACAAACAGTCTGAGTGCACTGTAGGCTCTCAGTCTTAAGTGACTTCAAGGTACACTATTAACTCTGGCTGTGAGGTCCAGAAAAAGTACCAGTCTCTAAGAATATAAGAGATAGTGTCAGAATATTAAGAATGTAAGAACGTCAGAATATTGCATTGCCAGTCTTTAAAAGCAGTATGGCTTGGATGACATGGCCAAGTTCAGCTACCAGATTGGGGTGGACTCTTCACTGCTTCGACTACAATTGGAGCAGCTTTTCTATGCTTTCCGGGGGTCAGAAAACTTCACAGCTTGGAGTGGTAGTTTCCCTGAGGGTCCTCTTCCTCTCTGTCTGATGCAAAGCCGGTCATTTCTCTATAATATTTCTAATATCCCATCTTAGGTTTTTATTTTTATGAAGAGACACATGACCCCAGGAACTCTTATAAAGGAAAACAGTTAATTGGGGCTGGCTTACAGTTCAGTCCATTGTCAGCATGGTGGGAAGCATGGTGGCATGCAGGCAGATATGGTTCAGTAATGGCCACACTTAGACTCAATGCCATGTTGTCTTGTAATTTCCTCTGCAAAAGGAATTAGGCCATTCCTCTCTAACGTGGCCTCACACAGATTATCAGGGCATGGGCAGAGTGGTCAGATTCTTTGCCAAGATATCATACTAATAGCTGCCAGACCAGTTGCCAATAGAGTTCTTGCCCCCCCCCCCCAGCAATGTCACAAGCTGAGTCTACTCTCTCCATTTTTCTCAACACTTCTGTCTTCTAGGCTCCTACTAAAACTGTTGGGGTCTTCATGCAGTATTCAACCACTTTTCTAGTTCAAAGTTCCTAAGTCTTCTACATTCCTGCAAACAAAACAAAACAAAAACCCAAACAACAAAACCAAGCAGCCGTGATCAGGTTCTTCATAGCAATAAGACGATGTCAACTGAGCTCAGTAACCTGACATCCATGCATTGTGATGATGCAATGGAGCTTTATCATGCACAATAGAATACTTCAGTTCCTCATTTCGATTGTGTGTTGCTACGGAGTTGTCACATGCAAGAGGAGCACTGGGCTATTAATATTTGGCATTATGTCACACCACCAATGGAGCATGGTGATGCCAGAGTTCAGCATATTACAGTGGGACATTGTACCCGTGGAAAATTTGACAACACAATGGAAAATTGTCTTGTCACAATACAACACTGTGATGTTATAATTCAACATTGTGATGTCACAATGAGTCTTCGTGATTGCACAATACATCATGGTGGTGTCATAATTCAGAATTTTGTTATAGTTCAGTATCCTGGAAGATGAGAAGTTTGAGAGCCGCACAGAGGATGGAGGCCTGGCTTGTGAAGTTTCAGAGGGGAGCTAAGTCCTACTGGGCCATTTATGTGCAGGACCTGTGGTTCTGGTCAGCTGGAGCTGAAGAATCAGCTGTGATAGACAAAGACCAGAACCACTAAAGGAAAATGTTTGTTATTCTGGGGTAATTGATGCTGGTTAGCTGTGGTTAAGAAGAGACCAGCATCACTGAGGTGTCATCTTCTAAAAAGTGTTTCCTGAGAGTCAACACCTCTGGAAGCTGTGTTCCAGAGGCAGCCAAGTTTGTACCTCACGCTGGCAGCTGGACTTGGTAGTGTAAGGTTCACTTCTCAAGCAACTGAAATTAGAGAAAGATCATTTTGACGGCAACCTTTGCTTTTATCATTCAGATAAAATACATTGATTACATAAATGACTAATCTTAAATGGTAGGTTGTGATCCTGTGACCTTGAATTCAGAATGTTGGGATTAAATGCTCGTGCAACCATCTATGCTGGCTGAGACTGGCTTTTTTAAACAGACAAATTTTAGGCGTTTGAATTCTTGAGGACTGTAGAACTTACACAATTTGGAATATAATACATTGTGATGCTCTTAATTAATGTGCGGTCTTGGGAATGAATAAAGAAGGGAAAGGCCGTGACTTAATAGTGGTGTTTATATGTCAGTTGACAAGGGGCCAGTTTGACACAAGATAGCCTTATCAGAGAGGAGGGAACCTCAAATGAGAAAAATGTCTTCATAAGGTCCAGCTGTAGGGCATTTTCTTAATTAATGACCGATGTGGGAGGGCCCAGCCTGTGGTGCACAGGGCCACACCTGAGAAGGGGTCCTGGGTGCTATAAGAAAGGCTGAGCAAGCCAGAGGTACAAGCTAATAAACAACACTCCTCCATGACTTTTGTATCAGTGCCTGCCCCAAGGTCCCTGCCATCTTTGAGTTCCTGTCCTGACTCCCTTCCATGATGAAGAGTGATTTGGAAGTGTAAGCCAAATAAATGCTTTCCTCGTCAGCTTACTTTTGGTCATGGTGTTTCATCACAGCAATAGTAACCTGGACTAAGAAAACCATCTTTTCTGACATGAGAACTGGTCATTAGGATGTTACAGCAGGCACCGAATAACAAAATAGAGAACTGTGATATCACAATGAAAACTGGGATGTCAGAATTTAGGATATCTGCTATCACAAAGGCAATGTGAGAACATGATTGGGCTTGTGATGTCACACTGATATTCTGGTGTCATCACAGAGAATAGTAATGTCAAAATAGGGTTATGTCACAAAAGAACATCTGGTTATACTACATTGTATTGGCATAATGAAGTATTATGATGTCACAATACTGTATTGTGATATCATAGTGGTACATGGTGATGTCACAAATAGTACATTGTGATATAACAATGGAGCACTGTGATGACACAATGGAGCATTGTGGTATAACAATGGAATACTGTGATGTACTAATGGAGCACTGATATAACAATGGAACATTGTGATTGAAAAGGATTAGTATGATGTAGCAATGGTGCATTGTTGTATAACAATGGATCACTGTGATGTAACAATGAAGAATTGTGATGTAACATTGGATCATTGTGATGTAACAATGAAATATTGTAGTAGAACAGTACAGCACTGTGATTTAACAATAGAGTACTTGTTACAACATTTGATCACTGTGATGTAACAAGGGAGCATTGGTATGATCACAGATCACTGTTATATAACAATGTAGAATAATGTGATGTAGCAATGGAACACTGTGATGTAACAAAAAAGCATTGTGGTATAATTATCAATCACTGTGATGTACCAATGGGGCATTGTTATTTAACAATGGAGCAATGTGATATAATAACGCAGGCCTGAGACGTAACAGTAGAGCACTGTGATATAACAACGGATCACTGTGATGTAACAATAGATCACTGTGATGTAACAATGGTGTAGGGATATAACAATGTATCACTGCCATGTAACAATAAATCACTAATGTACTATAGAGCATTATTTTATAACATGGAGCACTATGATTTAACAATGGAGTTAATCATGTAACAATGGATCAATATGGTATAAGAA